TTGGGGGCTACCTCCTCAAAAATATCTGTTTCTCACGTGATCTATTGTGTCGTAGAAGCTGGTGATAGGCCAAAGGTTTTGGTTTAGTGCTCTTACACTATTAAAACAATATACCCCACCTTAGTACTCGGGCTCCTGAATTTGGAAAGCGGGAGAAAAAAGAAGGTTCGAATTTTAACCCAAGCGGTGATCCAAAGAGCCACTGGATAGGACAAACAGCTCTATATGGGAGCCTAGGATAGTTCGGGTTCTAAGACCACATCCCTCGGATAGGGCTAACGGGGCGGTAAACCCGGTTGGGCTCTATGGTATGCTACAATGCCCTACAGCATATACAAGAAAGGGTAAACGCCTTGTAAGTCTTGTAGAGGGTAACACCTGTGAGAGTGGCTTCTTGCTGGAAGCCGGCGTAAGGTCGGGGTAGTGGTCGAGGGTAAGCCACGGCGCCCGTACGAGGCTTGGAGGGGAAAATGGGGGAAGTTAGAAGGGACCAGAAGGTAATTGCGGAGGAGATGGGAGTAAAAACAGATGGCTAGGTTGATTGATAACATGGTTTACCACTTGGATAGAATAAGGTAAATTGAACACCCTCCACACCTCCGCCAATACGGCCTTGGGGGGGATAAATTTTGGTTCGGCAGTGTAGCGGCGCAAAGGGCGGAATTCGGCTACTCACTAATCACTACCTATGGTCGTACCTCGCTACCCTTACCAGCCAAGATCGAAGGAACCTGCCCGGGACACCAGGTTATCCGGGATAACAGATCATGTTTTGGTGTAGATAGATTTAGAATTTACGGAATTTCATATAGGGTAGCAAGATTTGACTGTACGGCGAACTTTTAGGAGAGTTAGAGGGTCGGGTATGAATATCAGATAGCAAGCGGCGGGATGCGACAGGGGAGGTGGGACCGAATGTGAATAATCGAAAGCTAAGCGCGTTGGGGAGACCGAGAGCCAGATATGAACAGAAGAGCCCTAAGTTATCTAAGAGCTTACGATAGTTCAGGTTCCAACACTCCACCCCTCGGATAGGACTACTAGGGCAGTAAACCCCCTCGGTCGCTATGATAGGCTATTCAATGCCCTGGAGCATATATAAGAAAGGGCAAGCGCCTTGCAGGTTTTGTAGAGGGTAACACTTTGGCAGTGAATTCTTGCTAGAAGGCACCATATCGTCGGCGGAGTGGCTGACGGCAAGTCATGGAGTTCGCGAGAGGGAAAAATGGGAGAGGTGGAAAGGGGCTAGAGGGTACATGTAACTGTGGAGGGAGGAAAAACAGATAGCTAGGTTGCCTAATAACATGCTTTATTACTTGGATAGAATAAGGTACATTGGACACCCTCCGGACCCACCAACACGGCCCAGGGGGGGATAAATTTTGCTTTGGCAGCAAAGCCCACAAAGGGGGGAATTCGGCTACTCACTAATAACTACAGACAGTCGTACCTCGCTAACCTTACTAGCTAAGATCGAAGGAATCAGCCCTGTACACCCAGTTATCCGAGACAACGGATTATGTTTTGGTGTAGATATATTTAGAATTCAGGGAATTTCATGCGGGACAGCGGGTTTTGGCAGTGCTGCGAGCTTCTTGGACGGTTGGAGGGGCGGGTATGGATAGCAGGGAGCAAGCGGCGGGATGCGGCGGCGGGATGCGGCGGTGGCGGGGGATGGGAGGCGAATATGAGGGACGGAGGGCTAAGGGCGTTGGGGAGACCGGGACCCGGATATGGACAGAAGGGACCGGGGCCAAATGCTATAATAAAGGGAGGACTGAAACTGGTCTTAGCCTCTCTAGCACCCATGACCGTATCTTAGTGAATCTGAGAGTGGAAGCAGAAGCAATCTCCAACATTTTCCAACGTGGGGGAACCACGGCTGGTGTGTTCATCAACAAAACTTAGATCAGGGTATCAAAGTTAATGCTATCCCTTGCCTGGAGGTCCTCGTTGCTGAAGTTTGTCTAGGGTTTTTCTTTCTATTAGTTGGAGAACCCCGCCTGAATTTCTAGAGTTTTCTCGGATGAAGGAAAGAATTTGAAATCGAAGGATTGACGAACTGACAAACCCGGGAAAACGGCTCCACACAGTCGCTACCGATGCGTCGTTTGTCGTTTGGAGTGTCCGGTGGTTGAGTCGGCGTGGCGTACTCGTACTTGGTGATGTTTTCACAATTTCGCTAAGGGCCTGGAGAGAGAAGGTGGGTCGGAGAATGGAAGGAAAGTCTTTGGGGACGGTAACCGGGTGTGGGGTGGAGGCCACGAGGCTATCGTAAATCTATATGATACGAGTATGAAAGGATTACTTCACTAATACCCCTAGCTCAGCCCCGGGAAAGTGAGGGGCTCCGGAGCCGCACAACGTGAGTTAGCCTCCTACAGCAATAGCTAGTAATTACTCCTCTAGCAGTTCATACCAATTTTGGGGGAAGCTATGTGGACCCCGGTCCCGGGATATTAGAGAATGATGCTACAGCAGACGCAATGAGCCCCAGGGCTGAAACCAATGGTATTAACTTGTCAGTAGGTCAGCGGGCTTTACCAATGGATGCGGCTCCAGGATGCAGCATGCGCAGCACATTCCTGTGCCCAACATTGCCCTATCGAACCCCGTGTGGCATGGTGCATGCGCTATGCCTGCGCGGTCTGCTGTGTGGCTGTTACGGCGTCGGTAGTGGTTCCGAGGGGCGCCGACCTCGCTAAAACATTAAGATAATTTATTTGTAAAAAAAAAATACGCGACTCCACCTTAAAGGTATATGCGCATGCTGGCGGTGCTCACTCGTGCAGTTTCTGTCAATCTCTGCGTGAGGGTACTCCGGTACTCGAGCACTCGGACCGTACATAGTTCATTATGCTTGCCGGCACGGCGCTGGGCAGAAAGAATTTGCTCCTACCATCCCTGAGTTTTTCTGAAATGAGTTCTGTTGGGGGGCGATTGGCCCCGATTATTATGAGGGTTGATTGGTTCATGACGGTGGCAGGGATGTCCGCACATGGAAAAGACCTAGAGGCAATACCGGCACCCGAGTAGAACCCGCTGCGACACGTGTGTGTGTGTCCCTAGAAATCATCTTCTGCGAGTTAGTCTACCGGTAGTGGAGGCCCAGGAGGGGCTTGTTTTTGTAGGAGGAAAGTGTTTCCGGATCTTCGTCAACACGACCGTGCATCATCCCCTGCTCGGGTGGACTTTGTCCTAAGTGGGTTAGGGTGAAATACTACCCGTACCATTTACCGCGCTGTGGAGTTCACACTCTCCTACTCATACAAGTGCTCAAGTATTCCAAGTACTAGAATTTCAAGGGTGTAGTACTGTATACGAGTGCTCGGACTGCCGGGTTGAAGTTGGGCACCCAGATACCGTACTGGTACAGAGGCTATCGCCGGGACAATAACGAGCTCATGCTGCCGGAATTATGGGAGCCTCCTCAGGGGGGGAGGGTGTGTGCATAATACCGATAAGAGACTTGGAGATTATTGGATGACGGGTTGGGAAAAAGAAAACAACACACAACATACGGGAGATCAATCGCTACACAACCGAATTATTTCAACCGAAAAACGAATGCTTCCAAGAGGCCCCGGAGTGCCTAGGGTTAGTGGGCCCCTATTCTTGGTTTTTGATTCTGTGGTGGGTAGATTAGGGGTCCTCAAACCTCGGACGGGATTTGGGTGGGTTCAGGACAGGTTGACTTGCCACTAAATAACCGCCAATAAGATTCACATACTGGACAATAGGGAGGTTCTGCTATTTTTCTTAATTATGACACTTTCACTATCTCCACGGCAACGGCAGGGATTATGACCCAACTAGTAAGAAGAGGGTGTAGTGTAGTGTGGCAAGTAGCAAAAGTAGAGTTAAGAAATGTTCTTAATTAAAAAAATTTCTTTAAAGCCCTTTGTTTACACCAGACTAGTGAGTGTTGATACAATGGGAGTTGGATGGGTACAGCCACCTAGGGTCAAAGACCTGTTACTTACGAGTACGATGAGTCATAATTATTAAAAATCCCCGGGTGCAAAACAGTACTTTAGATATCTGGTATTTTCCCTCACGCCACCCGCGAAAATAAAAACAAAAGTATAACTTAAGAAAAATAGTAGAACCTCCCTAATAGGTCTGAGGATCCTAGATGGAGGGTGGAAAACCATGGATGAGTTGAGAGTCCATCCCTTACCTTGTTGCCGAATTCCATGGCAGAGTAGCCCTGGTGGGTCTTAGCCGCCAAGGACAGGTGTTTTTCCAGTACCGTAAAAACTCGAATAATCGAACCGGGTGCTATGTCGTTGGAGTTGCCTCCTCCGGTAAAGCCTGTTGTTTCTCTGTTTCCTTACGCTTCTGAGGGGGGCTGAGCAGCTCCGTTTTTTGCTGTGTTTTTCGCCCCCTTTCTCAAGTGGGTAATTCTCGACTACATAGCACACGGTTCTATTATTTGAGTTTTTACGGTAGGTTGTAGGTTGTCCTGAAGAGTACTGAGAAAATCTCGTTTCTGTCATGGCCATGCTGATCGGTACCCTAACGGGGTGTTGGGCTGAGAATGGACAAACTGAGTAACCCTCAGCATGGTCATGATCGAAGTGTCATCCTCTGTGCACATTTAATCACAACTGCCCCAGTGGGCTAGTACTTAGTAGTCTGGACAGGGCGAGCTGTTGGTAACTATCTCCAGTAAGCGGTAGAATAGCGTCTGCCGTAATTACGGGGTAAGGGATAAATGGCTAAAGGTGACACTTGGTTATACTAGTAGATATTTTTTTTATTTTTACTATACTCAAGTTGGTAACATCTAGTCTAGTTCTTTAGTGCTCCGTGAAAACCCATCCACCACTTTTGCCGGATGGGCAGTTGAGTTGAGTTGGGCCGTGGATCATGATCTGGACCAATCACCATTGATTACCAATTTCTATCCTCAACTCAACCAAATCCTGTCCGAGGTTTGAGGACCCCTATTTTGTCAACTCGCAATAGCTTGGTGGGTGTCCAACTTCAACTCGGCCACCCGAGTACGGTAATTTACGGTGCAGTGGTGTGCTTGAGTACTGTACCGTATGCTACACCACGGCAGCCCCCCTCTTGAATGAGACATGAACAATAGTCTGCGAGGCTTTCCCTGGCCAGTGGGAGCTGCAGCAAGACACATCCCCCGATTACGCCTAAAGTGCTCACACCAAAACCCCGGCAGGGAAAGAAATTCCATCGTTACTGGAAATGTGAGCATGGAGGTTTGGTCGACTCGCATAATGGTTGGCTAGCAGTTGTGCAGGTAGAGATTGGACATGAAGCTGCCGTTCTGGTGCGCAGCCCCGCTCTTGGTGAACTTAAGGGAAACATTCAGCTGAATACCGCCGCAGCCCTCCGGTTGCTGTATTCTACCACATCTTTGAATCCCCAGTCAAAAAGAATAACTCTAAAGCGAGCGAAGCTTCAGTGACAGCCTACCTTAGGATTTAAACGTCCGCTTGTCCTTATCCATCGTTTCTAAAAAATAGCGAGCTGTAATAGCTTCATCTTTGCACTTCCGCCCTCAGGTCTGCGACGACTACGATCAGGAAAATGGCAGAACCCATATCCTTGGCCGCCAGTGTCATGACCCTCATTCATCTCGGCGCGAAGGTTTACCAGCTTTGCGATGACTACTGCGAGGCAGTCAAGGAGAGCGAGCAAGATTTCAAGAAACTGGGGGGTGATATTAGGGGTATCGACCAACATCTGAAGGAAATTCAAAGCCTTGCGGAACAAGGTGATGAAAACAATCCGCAATACCCTGAGCTACTTGAATGGACGAGAGGCAAAAGTTTGAAAGATTATACGGCAGCCCTGAAAGAGCTTGAGGCGAAATTAAATGTTCCGGGATGGAGGAAATCCGTGCGGAAGCTGGTTTGGCCTTTTCGCAAACCGAAAATGGAACATTACCTAGGCCTGGTTAAAGAGGAGAGAACAGAACTGCAGCTATTGCTAACCACCGCCACAACGTAAGTTATCCATTGTTCAGTCCCCTAGGAATCTAACTTCTCCACTTCCTTTTCGTTTTGGTAGCAAGACTAATCAGTTGTTTAGGAAGACGGTAACTAAGGTATTGCGAAAACTGGATGGTACATTGTCACATTATCCCTAACCCTGGCAATTTTTCTCCTTACTAACACTAGATATTTCTGAACTCTAGAGAAGGAATTCCGAGAAGTACAGCAGTGGCTCAATGTCGTCGATCCAGCCTCTAATTATTCGTCCGCTCTGGATGTTCGTGAACCCGGTACTGGAGGATGGCTACTCGGGGGACAGGATTACATGGATTGGAAGAAAGACAGGGGGGGAGTTCTCTGGCTCCATGGTATACGTATGTCTAGAGATGGTTGAAATATTATGCTTCGAAGAATGTCTCTAACATTTGTGTCTTCTAGCCGGATGTGGTAAGAGTGTACTAAGGTGCGAACTCAAGAGGGTATCCAGAGGTGCAATATGATTTCTTTATTGCTAACTCACTCTCTAGTGCTACTGCAATTGAAGATTTGGAACATCTGTGCAACCAAAACGACGATTACGCATTAGCTTATTTCTATTTCACCTTCAGTGATTCCGAGAAGCAGAAATTGCACAATATGCTCCTATCCCTTATTGGCCAACTTCCAAAAAGGCTATCGGAGCGGGGTTTGCCGGGTGGTGTCGTAGATCTCCACAACAGAACCAAGGCGATTGGAAAGTCGGCGGATATCAGAGATCTGAAGGATCTATTGTCGCATATTATAAAGGATTTCAGGAAGACGTTTATCGTTCTCGATGCCCTGGATGAATTCCACAAGGACACACGAGAGAGTCTCCTATCTTGGATCGGTAAGCTTATGGCTGATCATAAGGCTGGCTCGCTCTCGATTCTCGTCACGAGCCGTCCCGAGGCCGATATAGTGCGATCACTAGGACCACTAGCCGCTTTTTCAATACCTCTACAATCTAGAACTGTCGATCAGGATATCCGGACGTATGTGCAGAAATCTCTAGGCAGCAAGGATGGCTTTGGGAAGTTTACGAAAGAAATAAAGAATGAGATAGAGGACACACTAGTTTCTCGTTCCCAAGGAATGTATGTTATACTCGACCATTCAGGTTTTGATTTACGCTAATACAAGGATCCGAATGTTAAGGTTCCGGTGGGTGGATTGTCTTTTGCGAATTCTGCAGGAATGCATGACACCAGGAGATGTGAGAGTTGCCTTGAGAGAACTTCCGAAAGACTTAGATTCTGTCTACTTGCGGATCCTTGAAAGCATCCACGAGAAGCAGCGGGAATATATTCGGCGAGCGATGCATTGGCTCGCATTTTCCGCAGTACCCTTGACGTTAGTCCAGCTTGCGGAGGCCGTCGTGATCAAATACGATGTCGGCAAATATGGTGAGGATCCTGAGACTGGGACTCTTTTTGATGTGAATTGTTTCATGAGCATTTGTCCAAGCCTTATTTCCTTCGAGGATGCTAGGGACGAGGAATCATCTCGCCCGGAAAACCGCCGATTACGACTAGCACATTTCTCGGTAAAGGAATATTTGATCTCCGACCGGGCAGCTCAGGGCCCCAGTGCCTACTATCATATTTCGGAGGATAAAGCCTATTTACTGATGGGACATTCTTGCCTTAGTCGAATACTGCGACATAGTACACAAGGGGCTATACACTGGAAAAAAGTTGCGGAAACATTATTTCTCTACCATAGTGCTCGCTATTGGTTTGTGTATACCAGATTTAATGAGGATACGGTACCCACACCACTCTCCGAGGCGGCAGTGAAGGTTCTCGAGCTTGGCAAGGTCCGGTTAGATGTATATAATCCCGACCACTCTTACTACGGCTCTAGGATTTACCCACTAGCAATTTACTATTCCTCCTTGTTAAATTCAGTGACGGCCTGTAAATTCGTAGTCAATAGAAAAGTAGATACAATAAACGTCAATGCTCAGGGTGGCTGGTATGGCAATGCACTACAAGCTACTGCAAACAATGGAAACGCATCGCTTGTGCGGCTTCTCCTCGAGCGTGGGGCAGAGGTGAATGCGCAGGGTGGCGCGTATGGCAATGCACTCCAAGCAGCTAAATCACGAGGTCATGAATCGATTGTGCAGCTTCTCCTCAGACACAGGGCAATTCCTAATGTAGGGGCTCGTCCAGACCATGGAAGTAGCTCAACCACCTAAGACCCTTTTAATTGTTCCACCACTCGAATATTCTATCCCTACAGTTGCCACCGACTCTGGAAATTCCCCCTTTCCTATCCTATATTCACTAGCTCCTTCTCTTACCGGTGTTTCATACGACTATCACAAGAAATCCCCATTCCCACTTATACACGCCGCACTCCCGGCATTCTAACGCCCCACACCCGTAATCTATTACGCACCTCCAAAAAAAAAACAGCTACTCATTTCCCCGATCCCATATATCCTTCTGCCGCCGGCTACCCCGCCCGACTTCCACCACTATTTTCCAAATTTTGTATTACCTCATGCCGAGTTCACTCGAATATACAAACTCGGATCTGGGACCTCGCTGCTTATCTGACCTCTCCAAACCTGCTATCTCTTGGTCTCCTTTATTCCGCACCTAGCCCGACACAGACAACACCCCCACTTAGACCACATTACAGAAGCCGCTGGCGCACACCAAATGTTCTAACCTAAACTTTTGGTGCCAACTGACTCTGGTTCGGTCCGTCGCTTCATTATCATTACTACCCGCCTTCCAGATGAAAACTAGCTACCTCGCGGATTGTATATTGTGGGGTTCACAGATAGATCGACATTTACCTTCAATATCCCAATCTGTCAAGTGACCCCGATGGAAGGAGCCACTGAATGGGGACTGCTCTGGAGGCTGTAGGAAGCGATGAAAGGAGTTTGGAAGGGGAGGGAAGTGCCAAGTGGGCTTACCAATTTATTTATTAGCTAATCGGATCTGGTCTCAGGTTTTGGAGTTCCATTTCCTTCTATATTTCTTAGCCGCCCCTCCACTTCTCCTCCTTATTGGAATAAGGCTTTGGTTATAGTTTTGTCGAGGGCAACAGTTAGAGAAAAAGCCCCACTTCGCTCTTGGGAGATGGATTGTTTGTGATCCCATTTCCTTGGTTGTTTTTCTTTTTCCTCCTGGTATATCCCCCCACCAACACGTGAACAATCCATTAGCCATTGGGGCTAGTACCTGGACATGTGGGTATCATGATTATTAGATATTATCATACATCGAAATTTCCCACGCAGTACCGTATCAAGTACCTTTGGTACCAATTATGACAACAAGGGTATCATATAAGAAAAATTCCTAAAACTATCCCATCTGACTGATCCTATACCTGAAAACAGATAACCTCTCAACATGTACAACATACACGTGTGACTAACTACATAGGAATAAATCAAAATCCCAGCCAGCAGCCATAGTATCCTGAATCTTCAATCAAAAATGAAAAACAAACCACCAACATGGTCTTTTTGTAAGGAAAATTTAAAACACCAAACAGTCAGACCTTCCTTGACTGAAACCTGTAACAGGAAAACTGGGGGCCATAGCAGATGGTAGCAGTGGGGAGTGGGGTGGTGGTGGCAAGCACCATGAACAGGTAGGAGGGTAGTTGATGCGTGCAGCATGAATAAAGGTACAGAGGGCCAGAAGCATATCAGCATCCAGCCACAGAGGAGTGTCAAAGTTGATGGATTAGAGAGTAGGAATGTATCTGGTCCTCAGGGTCTGTGTGGAGGGACGCCATAGTATAGCATGCTCTATCTCTGCTTCCACCTCCTCACAACTTGGGTAGGTAGGAGAGGGGTTGAGTATGTTCCAAGAGCGATGAGCGGCTAGGTAGCTTTTTCCCGCCCTCATTTAGTGTATCCAGCCCATTGTGTATTGGTCCAGCCCCATGAAGGGGTGAGGTTTGAGGGAGGTGAGGAAGAGGTAGTATGGGGGGTGTTTAGGTTGTAATTCCAGTCATGGAGCACTAGGGCTGTGATGCAGGACCTCAGCGTGGTGATGGCATCCAGGGGGTGTCCGGGTGTAACGGGGGCTCCCTCAGGTAGATGGCTCCTGAGGATGACACCGCACCAAACTTCGAATCTCTCGAACACAGCTCTTGCAAAAGTGTAAAGAATAAAAGTAAACGGTAAAACTTAATATCGTTAAGCTCAGGCTTATCTCAATTAAAGTCTCTCGAGAGGATGTTGATTGTGTCAGGGTAGGAGAGTTGTCGTATAATCTTTAAGTAGTCAGACTTATACTAAAAACTCGCCCATCAGGTTACCCCGACTAACGTGAGTATGCCCTTCTCCGTAAGGGTTGCCCCGGCACCATTACCGTGTCCCCGAAGGGCCATAGGTGTCAGCGCACTCTAGCAGAAATCTCCTTTATGCACATCAGTTTCTGCAAGGTGTTTACCAATACACCTGCCGGAGTGAAAACCTCTGCGCATCGGAGTCTCGTCAGTGGCTAACCATCGAGACTCTTAGGAAAGCTAACTAAATGACTCTCTTCCCATATGCTATGACCTATGCAAGCACTGGTAGACATCAGCTGTCTTCCGGCTAAGCTCTATCTTTCTTGACTGCGAACTTAGGGGTCTACGACGCTCCCCCGGAGAGCTGTGTCGGCGGCGGGACCCATAGGCGCTACCCATGGTCCCTTACCCCTGGCACACCACTCACCGTGACAAGTGTCATGCTATTAGAGTCTTCAAACAACCCACAAAGAGCCTACGGCAAAGGGGCACATGTAGGCATGATTGGCGTAAAACCTTCCCAGATGTCTCCGGCACTACCCGGGACTACTCTGGGGACCCTTCCGGATAGCTCACGCTAACTCCGTCACTTTTGGTCCGTTTTACTCCGTTCCTTTTGGAGAAGGTACTTGACCTTCTCACCTTGGCCCCCTTGTATATCCTGCGAACAGCCTCCGGTCGGACGGACGGCGACGACGCATACAGTGTTATGGACATGTCTTCATAGATTCCATTTAACTAGCATAACGGCAACTCCACCCATTTTGGCCCATGACGCCCGGGGCGAACCCTGGGGCCGCAGGTACCTGTTAGGAATAATTCTACCAAGTTACAGCCTGTTCGGAGCACTATAGCTCCTCCCGTAGTCTTCCGCTCAAAGTGCAATCAAGTGCCCGTTGATCGTCATTGCGTAACAAATAATCCTAACTTTTCCCGGAATTCCTCCGAGAACATTTCCGATGGAAGGTAGGGTAATAGTGTCCCCAAGGTAGGGTAAGTATGTCCATGTTGACACGAAGCCAGTCTCCATGGTAGGGTAACGTGACTTCGTTAGCCAGCGTAAACTCACCCGGCCTTCTGACCTATCTATAGGCCAGAGCAGACATTGTCACGTTATTACCACTACTTAGGTACACCTATTCCTTAAGTACCTTCTGTTCTTAGAGATTTCCGTACCATCAGATATCTCTCGGATATGTACCTGCATATCCGCCTTGTCTACCATCTGACCTCTTGGTCCTATGTATGGGCGTAGACGTAGGTTACCATAGCTCTATTTCGTAGGGTCGTTACACCGGGTGTACGGATCTAGGAGGGGGGCGGGCCCTGGTATGTAGAGGAGGCCACAGACCTTCATGTTTGATAGGGAGGAGAGTGTGGAGCAGGCAGTTGAGGGGGAGGTAGACCCTGTTTGAGCCTGGTCGTTTTGGTAGGTTCCAGGGAAGTGGGCAGTCTGTTCCATGTCACCCCTTCATGAAACATCTGGCGTATTCCAGGGAACAGAAGGATGAGTGAGAGAGAAACTTGTGAGGTAACTGAGCTGCTAATAGGTTTGTCTTGGGTGGAGTACAGGCCAGTTGTAAGGCTCCCAGCCTGCTGTCAAGTTTCCTTTCAAGGGTGAGGATCAGGGGGAGGAGGCAGGCTTCGACAGGCAGTATATTATTGTTTGCAAAGGAGAATAGGTTGGTAACCTAGTGGAGACCTTTGTTCCTGAGGACATTGATCGCCTTGAGGAGGGTTGCGGTAGGGACTAGAAGGTCAGCTCCATAGGTAAGGATGGGAAATATCAGGCCAGAAACCAGTCTTCTATTGAGGGTGGATGTGACTCTCTTACCAGAACCGGAGAGTTGTCTGAGTACCCTGAGGGCCTCTGGGGCCAGGGCGAGGCCTTTGTTGAAATGTACATTGGTATCCCGGGTATCTGTTAGCAAGAAACCCAGTCGGCAGATGAGGGGGAAGTGGGTGAAGGGGGCACCTACATGATTACCTAGTATGCTAGTTTGAGCAGAGCAGTTCCTGTCAGTCCTGAAGTGGATCAGCTCTCTCTTAGGAACTTGAACTGAGAACGAGACCCCTAGAGATGCTGCTTGGGATGAGAGCAAGTCGAAGGTGTTTAAAAAGGAGGCTGCACTGGCCTCATGAGATCAGGAGGTGACTGTTACTGTAATGTCATCCACATAGAAGAGGGTCAGTCCGTTGGGAATGGAGGGATGGAGGGGAGAGATGTAGATCATATAGAGGAGGGGCGAGATAGGGGAGCCCTGGGAGGTCCCTATGCAGATGCGGGGCATGGTTTTTGGAGAGCCCTAAAACTGGAGTGCACTGGCCCTATCCTGGAGGAAACTTCCTACCCAGGTGGCCAGGTACTAGGGGATCCCATCTTGGGACAGGCAGGAGCAGAGGAGACTACTCTGGATGTTGTTGAAGCCTCCCTTGATGTTGAGGAAGAGTGAGGCGACTCTAAGGCTTTCCTTGTGTAGTGTTTTTACTTCGTGTGTAAGAGTGCCTACTGCATGTATAAGAGCACCTGTTGCATAGATAACTTAAGAGAAATTTTTTTTATTTTTAATTAAGTCATAGTTTTATTGTTTACGGTACAATAACTCACATACAGCAACTAGGCCATGGCGTAAAAAACATTGCGCGGGGGGAGAACCATACAAAAAACAAATATCCGGTTACACGCAAACCCCCCAACCACCCCGAAAACCAAACTGAACAAAAGAAAGCTAAAAGATAAAGACCAAACCCCTATAGCCAGGCCCGAAGCCCAAGACGAATCCCGAGGAACACCTGGAAACAACACTAGAGACCTGCTAATCTAATCGTGATACGGCGGGGCAGGGGGCCCTATAGACCCAGCAGCAGAGG